TATTTTCTGTAAAACGTCCAGAATTTTTTGTAATATTCAAAGAGAGATGACGAAATTAAGCTCAGATTCGTGCTTCTGAGGACGAATCGAATAAACAGTTAAAAATATTTGACGTATCAAAAATTGTCAAAGTTTTCATAATCCTACGTTTCAAATTTTTGCAGTTAATTTTAGGTCCTCTGGTGTTTTAGTTTCAGAGAAATTTTAAGGAATCTGGTGTTGTCCTGGCTTGAAGGAACTTTTTGTAAAAAGACCGGGACTAGTAGTTGCTAAAAGTATACCGATTTTGGCAAATGAGATACCCTCTAAAAAAAGAGAGAGCGGGTGGGCGGTGATAGTAGCTGCTAAGATAAGAGTGATTTTGGCAAATGAAATACTCTCTAAGAAAAGAGAGAGCGGGTGGGGGGGTTCTAGTACCTGTTAAGACTGAATTTGGCAATTGACTTTTTAGGAATCTGAAAAAGCTTTGAGTGCCGCATGGTGTATTATTTTGGGAGCCCATGGATATTTTTTTTGTAGATTATTTAAAACAATTTTGGGGGACTTTGGTGTTCTATTTTTGGAAAATTCTGACCTGACATTTTTGTGTTTATTTAGGTTTTTTTTTAATTTAAAACAATTTTGAGGTTATAGGTATTCCTGTTTGGAAAGAATTTGAAAGTGCTTTGGCGCGTCTAGTGATTTTTCTTATGATTTAATTAAATTTCTTACAGGATATGTCCTTTGCCAAAATCGGTCTAATTTTAGCAGCTACTAGCCCCGCCCACCCACCCTCTCTTTTTTTAGAAGGTGTGTCAACTGCCAAAATCACTTTTATCTTAGCAAGTACTATCCCCGCCCACCCACCCTCTCTTTTTTCAGGGGGTGTGTCAACTGCCAAAATCAGTTTTATCTTAGCAGATACTAGCCCCGCCCACCCCCCCCTCTCTTATCTTATGGGGTATGTCATTTGCAAAAATCAGTTTGATCTTAGCAGACACTAGCCCCGCCCACCCGCCCTCTTTTTTCTTAGAGGCTATGTAATTTGCCAAAATCTTAGAAAGTATTGATTACTAATTTTTGCAAAAAATTATCTAAATTTGGGTCAATTTTCTGTAAGACTGCCTTTTTCTAAATTAGTGAATCAAATTTTATTTTTCTAAGAAAAATGGTGGAGGCTCCGGAATAAGGGGAAGTAAAAAACATAAGAATTTTGTAAGAGATGTGTATTTCAAAGACTATATTTTAGAAGCAAGTGGTAGATTTTCTCACCTATTCTGATTTTTAGGTAAAAGCCGCAAGTACAAATTTGCCCCAAAATAAATGAGCAAATTTTAGAACCGATGTGGTAAAATTATTTTCTGTAAAACGTCACCAATTTTTTGTAATATTCAACGAGAGATAACGAAAATAAGTTCAGATTCGTGCTCCTGAGGAAGTTTCCGATAAGAATGCGCTTTTTTCTGAAATTTATTTGGCAAATTTTTAATAAAATTTTGGAGGCGCCGGGATAATATAAAATGATTAAAAATATACAAGAATTTTGTAAGAATTTGAACAGACGACAATTTTCAGAATCAAATGGTAGATATCCTTAAATATCTTGATTTTTAGAGAAAAATGAAGAAGCAAAAACAAAATTGAACTGAGATAAATGAGCTACTTTTTCGAATCGATATGATAAAAATTATTTTCTGAAAAAGTTTACGGTTTTTTTCAAATATTCGAAGAGACATAACGAAAATAATATTAAATTCGTGCTCCAGAAGAAATTTTTGACAACAATGACCCTTTCCCAATTTAATTAATCAAACTTTTTCTTGCGTAACAAATGGTGGAGGCGCCGGAATATTATGAAATTTAAAAAGTTATGTAAGAATTTAAATGCCAATAGCCATATACTTATGGACCAAGTAGTAGATTTCTTTAAATATCTGAATTTTAAGATAAAATATAGAAGCAAATACAAAGTTGGACTGAGATAAATGAGCTAGTCTTCGAATCCATATGATAAAAATAGTTTTTGCAAAACATCACGGTTTTTTCAAATATTCGAAGAGATATAACGAAAATAAGCTCAGATTCGTGCTTCTGAGAAAATTTCCGATAAGAATGGCCCTTTCCCAATTTAATTAACCAAATTTCAAGATCTTGCGTAAAATGGTGGAGGCGCCGGGTAATATGAATTTATATAAGAATTTTATAAGAATTTATACATCAAAAGCCATATAGTTTAGGACCAAGTAGTAGATTTCTTTAAATATCTTGATTTTTAAATAAAATAAAGAAGGAAGAACAAATTTGAATCGGCTTAAATAAGCAAGTTTTCGAAGCGATGTGATAAAAATTATTTTCTACAAAACATTACGAATTTTTTGTAATATTCGAAGAGATATAACGAAACTAAGCTCAGATTCCTCCTCCTTAGCAAGGTGCCAATGCGAATGTCCCTTTACCAATTTAATTAATCGAATTTAAATTTCTTCGAAAGACATGGTGGAGGCGCCGGGATAATAAGAAATTTAAAAATGGTATAAGAATTTTGTAGGAACTTATACGTCAAAGGTCATATTTTAGGACCAGTATGTAAATTTCCTCAAATATCTAATTTTTTATGTAAAATAAAGAAGCAAATACAAATTTGGAGCGAGATAAATGAGCAAGTTTTCGTACCGACGCGATGTGACTAAAAACAATTTTTTGCTAACCACACCACCGTTTTATTATAATATTCCAAGAAATATAAGGAAAATAAACCTAGATCCGCGCTTCTCAAAAAAAAAATCCGATAAAAATTAATCAAATTTTTAATATTTGCGTAAAAATTGTGGAGGCGCCGGGATAATGCGATGTCTGTTTTGATGTGAAGATTTCTTGGGTCTGAAATGTTTCAACTTGTCAGAGTAGAACGCAATGACAATATTGATTTAGGCAAAAATGGACTCGTCGCCAATTTTTTATTTAATATATATTTGTCACGTCAATCACCATTAATTCAAACCCAACCACTATACTCAAATTTGTATTAATGCAAAAACAACAAAACCAAAAACTTCCATTTTCATGTTCCCTAAATAATAAAAGTGCAACCCCCATTCACCGCGCCCGCCGCCAAATTTAATTTAACTATCAATTCGAACCCCTTTATTACCAACCCATTACCGCGCAAAAACAAAAAAGCACTATACGCTTAAATAAACCTTTCATTTAATCCGCAAACATATTTACCGTTCGCATCAACGAGCAAAAATGGCGGATGCGCCGGGACTCGTCGCCCTCCCTAATTGCGGCATATTTAAGAAGTCGTCCCACGGAACGAACGGCCCCGATAATCGCCCGCGAATTACCGATGAAGTCAATTAAATTCTTATATTAAACAGCGTAATCAAATTAAAGTGCTAGCATTAAAATTAAAATTCGCTAAAGCGGTTACCGTCACCTAAAACAATGAATTTAATCCGCGGCTCTGCCGTGATTGTCATTTAAAATTAGCGAGAATGAAAGAGACGCGTATTAGCCGGCTCGAACTCGTAAAATATGGTCGTACCTGGAATTGGTAATTTAGTCCGGAGCGATTTTAATTAGGTAAACCGGTCAATAAAACTTAACCGGTGCTAGCTCAATACCCGGACTGGATTAAAGTAAATGTTGCACATATTGAGCGTGGAGCTAAATGCGTCTCCTTGGTCCCGGGCTAGTTTCTTAATTAAGTTTTTGCAAGGAGGGGTGGGAATTTTATAACGTACGAAGGCGGCGTGTAAAGTTTATTCGGGGTTATGAAAAATAGCGAAAGATGTACTTATGTTTCGGAGCGAATTTAGCTGCACTTTTAAATTGCTTAAGTGCACTTACTGCAAACTTAATAACGCGGAATAAACAAGTACTGACACCGTGTAAATCAGTTATATTGATGTGAGGACTTTTCGGATTTCTTGAATAGGAGTTCGGTGTGGGTATACATCGAACTAATTTTAATTTTGCGCGTTATTTGTCAACGGGAACGCAATTTATAAAACGAGATACTCATCTACATATAAATTAATGCGGTTCGCTTTGATAAAAAATCAATTAATGTACAACGTATGTTGATTAAAATTTATTTGTCGAATGGTTGTCTGTAGAGTGTCACATTTGTCGCCCTGGAAGGTACGATTATTGTAAAAGCTGGGTGATATTAGCTGGCACTCTTTACCCGATATAATTTAATTAACAATATTCCGCAGTAGCTATTCTGATAGTTTTAATTAGAGCACGCTCGTTTACTGGAAACTATTTCAAATATTCCGCATCTGCAATACAGTTTAATCAATTTCTGCAACATATCTCCTCATATAAGTTAGCAGTCGAATTTCAAGAATGTCGTGGGCGGAAAACAGAAATTTACTTCATTTAACACAACACTGGCCAGACCGTCCACGAATTTCGCTACATATTTTTCTGGAGGAGTTCGTGCGAAATAGCCATTTTATAACACAGACCAACTCGTACTTATTAAATTACGTAAATGGATACGTACGCGTCATAAATTCCAACCCAGCTGCACCACCCGGCTCAAACTTTTCCCGATTTTAATTGTCGAAAAAGCAAAATATAGCGCACTAGTTTGCCTCTCCCACAATAACCACCCGAATTTATAGCCGTTTATCCCGCGGAATAACGCCGCAAAGTGCAAAACCAACAACTTTTCCGAAAAACCTCATCTAACTGTCTCTGGCTATTATTTCGCGCACTATAACCCCGTAGTTCCTGGCCTCTATAGAAGACGTCGCGTTCGTGCGGAGTACGGCTCACCTCGCTATTTACAAATTTAATGACCGAAGTTCTGGTGCAAGGATCGTAAACTTTGGTTTGTTAGCATATTCATTCGGCAAATCCCCTTAGTCTGGGCTATCAAATCATATATCTGCCGTCGAATGAAATAAATTCTGGGGCAAATGAGACGTGTCTAACTGTGTTTATCGTTTACACCGCGTTCGTTCCGCGATAAACCGCCCCCGAAAAGAATAAAAATGAATTCTCACCTCCAGCACCCACAGCTCGGAGAAAGTCAGGTCGCCGAGCATCCGGATCTTGTTGTAGCTGAGGTCGAGCTTCTTGAGTTCGCCGAGACCGGTGAAGGTGTCCCGGGTCAGCACGCTGATGTAGTTGGTGTCGAGCTCCAGCTCGAGGAGGTGGGCCAGCTGCCTAAAATTACCAAAAACCCAGGTTTCAGTTAAGTTAGCGGTTGAATTAGCAGGAAAAGAAAAAATTATTAGGCTTGGAAGCAAAAACCTAAGAATCCACTAAAAATTACTTGCGACTCTGAGACTATGGCAAGATAATTTTGGTTGTAAGTAAATGTACAAAACAACTGAAATTAGGTATAGGGGTACAAGAAGTTATGCTCTAATTATTCGTCAAAAAAATTGTTTTTACTTCGTTGTTCCAACAGAGTTAGAACATATATTGGGGTTCACGATATGTGGGTAGCAGTAGATGAAACTACAAATTCTAATGGGCAATACGTTGCAAACATTGTAATGGGAAAATTATCTGGGAGGCAGTTAGTATATCACATTTACCGGTATGGAAAATATTGGAAAAAACCAATAATGTAACAGTGGCACGTTTTATCAATGAGTCATTAGGTAGGTAATTCTATTAATTATTAAAAAGATCCATTTTTATCGGATCGATTTAAATTAACTTGTGACCTAATTTCTGAAATAATAGTGTTAATTCAAATACCGGGTATCTGGGAAAAATAGTAAAAACATTCCTTCTCACATTTTGGTGGAGTTATACTGATTTTAAAATTGGTTAAATATTCAACATATTTCTCTCGCCCATGACCATGTTTAATTACCATTTCGGTTAGAATGTACAAAGATATGGTTGTGTTGTTTTTGTAAAAATTTGATAATTGACAACAATGTTTGACTGATTTAAACCGAGGTACAAATTAGCAAAAATCGAGTAAGCAGTTAAAAATGTTTGACGTATCAAAAATTGTCAAGGTTTCCAAAAGCGTGCGTTTAAAATGTTCGTTGTTAATTTTAGGTCCCCTGATATTTTATTTTCGGATAAATTAAGGAATCTGGTGTTTTGTGTGTGTACTATTTTGCGGGCCCATGGAGATTTTTTATGTAAAAAGACCGATTTTGGCAGATGACATACCTTCTAAGGAAAGAGAGGGTGGGTGGGCGGGGCTAGTTCCTGCTAAGATAAGAGTGATTTTGGCAAATGAGATACCCTCTAAGAAAGAGAGAGCGGGTGGGTGGGTCTAGTACTTGTAAAGACTGATTTTGGCAAATGACATTCCTTCTAAAAAAAGAGAGGGTGAGTGGGCGGAGCTAGTACCTGCCAAAATAAGGCCGATTTTAGCAAATGGCATATTCTCTAAGAAAATAGAAGACGGGCGGCTGGGGTTAGTACTTGCTAAGATAAGACTGCTTTCGGCAAATGAGATACTCTTTAAGAAAAGAGAGGGTGGGTGGGCGGGGCTAGTATCTGATAAGATATGACTGATTTTGGCAAATGACATTCCCTCTAAGAAAAGAGAGGGTGGGTGGGCGGGGTTAGTTCCTGCTAAGTTAAGACTGATTTTGGCAAATGGGGTACCTATCTTATAAGAAAATAGAGGACGGCTATCTGATTTTCTCAGTCTTATCTTAGCAAATACAAACCCCAGCCGTTCGTCCAGTAATTTCTTAGAGAATATGTCATTTGTCAAAATCAGTCTTACTTTAGCAGCTACCAGTCCCGCCCACCCACGCTCTCTTTTCTTAGAGGGAACGTCATTTGCCAAAATCAGTCTTATCCTATCAGATACTAGCCCCGCCCACCCACCCTGTCATTTCTTAGAGAGTATATCTCATTTGCCAAAATCAGTCTTATCTTATCAGATACTAGCCCCGCCCACCCACCCTCTCTTTTCTTACAGGATATGTCATTTTCCAAAATGAGTCTTATCTTAGCAGATACTAGCCCCGCCCACCCACCCTGTCATTTCTTAGAGAGTATATCTCATTTGCCAAAATCAGTCTTATCTTATCAGATACTAGCCCCGCCCACCCACCCTCTCTTTTCTTAGAGGGTAAGTCATTGCCAAAATCAGTTTTATCTTAACAAATACTGATGACTAACTTTTAGAAAAAATGATCAAAATTTGGAAACATTACGAGCTTACTTATATGGACAAAGCAGGAATTTTGAATATCTTCTCTAGTGTTTAGTTGGTTATGCTTTAATAGATTTTTTTTGGTTTTGTTTTTGTTTATAATTTATAAATGTCTTGTTCAATGTTTTTTTTTTTTTGGTTTATTTATTAATGAAAAATAGGAGTATTATTTTATAAATGCCCAACGATTAATGACTGTTGGTTGTTATGGTTATTGTCCTAAAAAAAAAGGTGGAATTTCAGTCACCATTGTTACTAAAAAATCAAAAAGTAAGCCGGAGGTATTCACGCGTTAGGTGCGTGCAGTGTTGCCAGTTTTACTTTTATAAAACTAGATTTTTTTCGTAATCTATGTCATAAAGCATTTTTTTATAATTCTTTGGGACTCCAGAAACCCCCGTACATAACGTATTGAAGAGTTAATCGGCAATTTTCCAGACGCCCGATATAATAATAGTTAATATATAATTTAATTAATCATTTAAATATTAATTACATACTTAATTATTTAATATTTTTTTAGCAACTGTTTTGTTGCGGAATGAATCAATTAATTATTGTTGTTATTCCAAGTAACTTCAGTGTTCTCAAAGCCTCGAAGATCTTCGTAATGACAAAAATGTTGACGATATAGTGAAGTGTCCTCGGATTTTTGAGATTTTTAGTGTCGTCAAAATTCCCACAAGTTTAAAAAAATTAATTCGAAATATTTTTTTTGCCGAAATTTCAAAGATTCAACAACTAGAAGATGTTACAGAAGTCCTTTGAGTACCTTATTTATAAAAAAAATCCAAAGTTTTGGTTCACTTTGGTGACTGAAAAATAACAGGCCTTTAACACAGACAAATTGTTTTAGCATTTCCAAGGCCATGAGGTTTTTCAGAGTTAATTCACCGAACTAGTTGTCAAAAATCGACCACTTTTTAGTCCTTAAGGCCTTGACAGTACTAAATTATGACTTAATTTCGAAAATTTTACGTTGCGAACATTCAAAATTTCAAAGGTTACCACTAATGAATGACGTGAAAACGCATTTTTACTACTTTTATAGCCTTGAAATTTGGATTTTGTATAGAAGTTAGAAATTTTGGGCTATTAACAACAGCAGAAACGTATTTTTTCGAAATTGTCAAAGCTTCGAAGGCCTTCGTAACGAAATGTTGACAACGTTCTTATCAAATGCCAGTCGATTTTTAGTCTTCACTCCATGCCATTTCTAGTTTTGTCAAAATTTTTACGATTTTTTCAAAATTATTTCGAAATATTTCTTTTCACGCAAATTTCAAATATTCCAACGCTAACAACAACTGGAAGACGTTATAGAATTCCTTTGAATATGCAGCCTTCAAACTTCAAATTCAAAGTGACTCACCACGTTTTCTTTTTGATTACTCGTTTTACTGGACGAAAATTGGATTTTATATTGATAAACAGTTGGATTTAGACAAAAAAATATGTAAACTAACCCCACCCACTTGCAGTTCAGAATTTCATTGGTTTATTTTATTTACCGTCAGATGAAAATTGAGTTCTATTTTGGCAAAAGTATAAATTTAATTAAAAAAAAACTTCAAAGTGGCCCCGCCCACCCACCCAATTTTTCTTTTGTGGATTTTGTGTTGATAAAGAGTGGAATTTAGACCAAATATAGAGGTAAAATTAACCCCATCGACCTCCACTTTGGAATTTCATTCGTTTATTTTATTTATTGTGAGATGAAAATTGAATTGTAGTTTAACAAGTAGTCAAATGTCATTAAAAAAAAAATTCAAAGTGGCCCCGCCCACCCACCTCGTTTTTTTTTTGATCGCTCATTTTATTGAACGAAAATTTGATTTTTACGTAGATAAAATGTGAATAAATTCACCTTTAGTTTTGAATTTCGTTAGTGTATTTTATTTACTGTGAAATAAAAATTGAATTGTATTTTGTGAAGTGGTCAGCCTATTTAAAAAAAAACACTTCAAAGTGGCCCCACCCACCCACCCTGTTTTCTTTCTGATTACTCATTTTATTGGATGAAAATTGAATTTTAGGTTGATAAACAGCCGAATGTAGACCAAAAAGGTAAAACTAGCCCCACCCACCTTCACTTTTGGATTTCATTGGCTCATTTTATTTACCGTGAAATCAAAATTGAATTCTAATTTGGCAAGTGGTCAATTTAATTAAGAAAACTTTAAAGTGGCCCCGCCCACCCACCCCGTTTTCTTTTCGTTCGCTCATTTTGATGGACGAAACTTTGATTTTACGTAGAGAAAAAGTCGAATGTGAACAAAAACTTTGAAAATAACCCCACCCACCTTCAATTTTGAATTTCGTTGGCTTGTTTTATTTAGTGTGAAATAAAAATTGAATTATAATTTGTGAAGTGGTCAGTCTATTAAAAAAAAAAAACACTTCAAAGTGGCCCCGCCCACCCACCCTGTTTTCTTTCCGATCACTCATTTCATTGGACGAAAAGTGGATTTTATGTTGGTAAACAGTGGAATGTAGACCAAAAAAGTAAAACTAACCCCTCCCACCTCCGCTTTTGGATTTCATTGGCTGATTTTATTTAGCGTGACATGAAAATTGAATTCTATTTTGGCAAGTGGTCAATTTATTTAAAAAAAATTTAAAGTGGCCCGGCCCATCCACCCCGTTTTTTTTGTTCGCTCATTTTAATGGACGAAAGTTTGATTTTACGTAGATAAAATGTCGAATTTCATTGGTTTATTTGATTTACCGTGAGATGAAAATTGAATTATATTTTGGCAATATCAAAGTGGCCCCGCCCACCCACCCTATATTCCTTTTAATTACGCATTTTATTGGACGAAAAGTGGATTTCATGTTGATAAAGAGTGGAATGTAGACCAAAAAGGTAAAACTAGCCCCGGCCACCTCCACTTTTGTATTTCATTGGCTTATTTTAATTAGCGTGAGATGAAAATTGAATTATATTTTAACAATCGAATGTGATCAAATTTTGAAATTCGTTGGTTTATTTTATTTAGTGTGAAATAAAAACTGAATTATATTTTGTGGAGTGGTCAGTCTAATTTAAAAAAAAAAAAACACTTTAAATTGGTAATATAATTAATGAATTAATTTATGATTTTAAATAATTATTATGGCGAACGGGACTCAAATACGAAAGACCAGAACTGCTTCTAATGGACAGCGCTGCATACGTGGTTAAATGTGGGAAACATCTGGAAATATTTTATCCTAACTTAATTCATGTAACATGTTTGGCTCACGCCTTAAGTTTAGTAGCTGAAGTTATCCAGAATCAATATGAAGATGTCAATGGTTTAAATTCCAACGTAAAAGAAGTATTTCTTAAAACTCATTTAAGGATTCAAGGCTTCCGGGAACCTTACCGGATTGTCCATTGCCTCCAGAACCTGTTCTGACAAGATAGGGTTCAGGGTTTGAAGCGACAATATATTATTGCTATTCATAATTTTGTTGTGTAATTCTAAATTAAATGAAACATTTTAGGTTATTAAAAACATCTCAAACATAATTTGGCTTATATAAAAACCCATTTTACCATCTTAAAAACAAGTAGGTGCACAAGCATTGTGCAATCACGACCCACTCTTTAGTTTTTTCTGGTACTGGTATTTTTCACCTACGAGGCACTTTCAAGCCTACGACTCGCCCCTGAACTACTCCCAAGCCCAAAATTGTTATCTCAGCAGTATTTGATTGAAGTGACAACGTAATCCCCCGATTCGAATTCAAAGTGCCTTTATTGTATTGTTTTTTGACGTATACCTGAAGGCGCCTTCCTGGATGACGCTCAAGTTGTTATGGGCGGCGAATAGCTTTTGCAACTTAGGTAAATCCACGAACACGTCCCTCTTGATCTCCGCTATCCTGTTCTCCTCCAGCGAGAGGTCCGTCAGGTTGGTGAGGTGCGCGAAGGCGTGGTGGTCCAGGGTGACGATCTGGTTCCTCGCCAGGGTGAGTTCCCTCAGCGAGGAGCTGTTGGCGAACGCGTACGGATGGATCTCGTTGATGTTGGCGTACGTTATCTGCAGCTCCTTGAGGTGGTAGAGGTGGCGCAGACCTAAGTGAAAGATGCGGAAATATTTTTATGTAGGTCGTAAATGCGGAATGGCGGAAAGTCGACTTAGAAGGGAGTATTTCTAAATTTAGAGCGCGCTCTAACGGCTGCCGTGTCAGAATTGGACAAATGATAAATAAATTGATGCGGGGTGTATTTTATATGAGTTTTTTGGGAATAGGGATGTGTGCGAAGAAGGTGTTTTATCGAATTTGAAAAGGAATTCGTGACGGAGGTGATGGATTATGAATGGTTGTTTTTGTTAAAGATTCGGAGGGTCGGAGTGGCTTAAAAGTAGGGCATTCGGAGAAATATTTACATGTTGTCGGGTGTCAGCGGCAGACGTTTCAATCTTAATACCGAAGTTTTTTCCGAGTCTGGGAAGTTTTTGTATCTAATTAAATTGTATCAGGGTAGATGACGCGCAGGAAATTCGAAAAAATTTCAAACGACGCCCGGGCAATTTTTAATTTCCAACCAACCTTTCGTCGGTATGAAGGTGAAAAGTCCCTGCGGCCTGACCAAGATCTTGAGCTGGTTGATGTGGGGCTGGGTCGCGAACAGCGACCATATGCTGTGATCTTTGGAGACCCCGGTGAAGATCCAGCATTCAGCGCTCGTGGTGTTGACGGGCGGCGCGCCGCCCACACAGACGCAATGCAAGGCGGCGGCGTTTCCCTCCATCGTGCACAGATTCGCCTCCCTTTGTGCTTTCGTCTTCTTGTCCTTTTTTTTCCAGGTGTTCGACGCCGCGGACACGCACAACGACGTCGCAATTAGCAGGACGATCAGACGCTGGGAACATCTCATGGTGGCGACACCTGAAGCAAAAAACAGACTGTAAACAACTCCGCAAAACAACCCCTAGGAAAATTTCAGTTTAACGGACACTTTTCATGTGTTAAATTTAACTTTGTAAAAATCAATTTCTTGCGCGGTGTTGCACGTAATGTCCAGGCGGGGAGTCGCACCTTAATAATTAATTTCGCATGAGGTGAAAGCGAAATTTACTTTTAGCGGGGGATAAATAAAAAACACAATCGTAAACAGCGCCTTTTATTTGTAACTAAGTGAAACGAAGTTAGGGAATGAATGCTAATAATAATTTTTACCTCTGTTTTCTTGTGCTGCCGCTGCGAAACAAAGTGAAATATTGCGGAGGGTTTTTTTAAATTTCTGAGGGTTTTGTTCGCGAGGTATTCAAAGCGTGGCGGTACAAATAAACTCATTGAGAGTAATTTTACAAACGAAATAAGGATGATGACGTTTTTAAACGCGAAAAGGCGGCGTGGGGAACGACGAGATGGAACTTTTGATATTTAAAGAGGGACGTAAACATCGCATCAAGATGAAAAGAACGATTTCGAAAATGTAAGCCATAATCAAAACAAAACAGAAATCTCATTTTGTGTTTTCTGTGTTATGTTTATCGGTCTAATTTGCTTTTTTATTCGAATCTAATCATACATGGGTGGACAAACCAAACCTCGTGTTCATCTAAATATAAAAAAACAAATGTTAAAATTAAGAAATAAATTGGATAAACAGAGTTCGTATGCGTTCGAACGCGATGTTGATTAAAGCTCACCGGAATTTTTTCGGAAATATTTTGCTACGATTTTTCCGCGATTAGTGAAGTACGGGATTATATGCATAGGTTCTGCTCAAAATATGCGCATTTATTTGCATAGAATAAATATGGATATGTTTCGATGCAAATAAAATGATCGAAAAACGCTAAGAATACTACTGGGGTTTGTGGAAATCGAATACGTGGAAACGGAAAACTGACACCACGTTCACTCATTTCAAAAACTCGGAGTCATACAGGTTGCAATTTTAGTCGTTTTTGTGCGAAAAACGTAGTTCAAACGTCACCTAATCGTATCAGTTTTCGGATCTACATTAATTTCTGTTTCCAAACGTTCATTATTCGCTTTCATTCAGTTGACAAACAGGCCAAAGCGGTATTTAACTCGGGCGTAGGATTTCTACTTTTTATCAAGATTTACCGGAAAAGCTTTTACGTTTGATTGTAATACCTTTCAGTGTATAGAACAGACAATTATAAACCTTGACGAGTCAAAGGCAAAATCTGCATTTATTGTGGTTAACTTTTATGGAAAACTCTGCGCCAATTGGCAAACAAATTTATGATTTATTAAATTAATTATAGATAGAATTAAAGCGTATAGAAGGATGAAAGTGAGCTAAGGAAGAAATGGGAAAGAGAGTGGGTAAATTGGAAAGTCAACTAGAGTGGATGGAGAGAGAAAAGAGAAGGAACAAAGTAGTGATAATGGGATTAGAAATAGGAAAAGAAGAACAGAAGCAGTTTATGTAGTGGAACTCGAAAATAGAGAAGCAAAAATAAATGTAAAGAAAAACAAGAAGAACTTGAAAGGGTCGTCAATTTACATAAATGATGATCTGACGAAATCGGAAAGAAAAATTCAAATCAAAATAAAAGAAGAGGCAACAAAATAGAGAAATAAAGGAAAATTTTGAATGGAGTGAAGAAGAGGGCAGACTCAAGAAGGTAAAAAATTTTTAGTAAGGAGTCAAAAGAAAGTGAAGAAAAACAGGAAAAATGGAAGGAAACAAGGCAAAGGAATAAAGGATGCCGATAGGAAAATCGGAAAAAGGGAAGCTGGTTCAAAATTAGGAGAAAAAGGGGTGAAGGTACTGTTTTGGAATGTCCAAGGGTTGCGAAAAAAGGAAAAGGGGTTCTGGGACTAGGTGGGAAAATTTGATGTGGTGGGGCTAGTAGAGACATGGGTCCAAAAGAGAAAACTGGGAAAAATTTGGAAAGCAAAAGAAAAACGGGAAAGTAAGCGGGGGAATAGCAATGGGAAGAAAATGGAGGAAACCAAGATAAACATAGAAAAGGAAACAAAAGAAAAAGGAGAAGGAAAAATACTTACAGGAGGGGATTTTAACGCAAGACTGGGCGATAAGGGGAATAATAGATAAAGAAGAGGGAGGGAAAAGAGGATCAAAAGACAAAGCGGGAAAATATTGTGGGAGATAATAGAAGAAATTTTTTAAGCCCCACCCACCCGCCCCGATTTCAATTGTGATGAGTTTTTCATTCCTAATCAGATGAGGGGCGGAGTTTAATTATTGTAACATCAAAATTTCTCTAGAAAATTCTACCCTTTTAAAAACACATTTCATATGCTAATTTTTTGTAGAGAAATGAGGATTTTGCAAGTAAAGTTCGCGCTCCAGCTCACGATGAATAAAGCATTCATCACAATCGAGAAGGGGTGGGTGGGCGGGGCTTATATTTGGTCCATTTGTTTCTTAATACGCGAAGTCTTCTTTTCCCAACAAGAAACTGACAATATATTTAACTGTCCTATTGTTGAAAGACAATTCTATATATTAAAAAAAAATCAAAATTAATCGATTACTATACTTCCTTCTCTTACACCTAAACTTCGACTTTCTCTACATGCACCCCCGTTCTTCTAAAATTTTGCTCCTTTTTTTGCGTTGCGCTTTTTAAGATGTATTCGAACCAGAAACAAAGAAAATAGTTTTAAAATTTTTAATTTAATATTATGACAAACTGGCAATTTAACATCATTTGGTGATCACTGATCAAGTTTCATTTCGTGTAAATACAGAATTTTTAAATCAACATTTTTTTCAGGAATTAGCTTCTTTAAATATAGTTACAAGCAAATTAAATATAAGAATATGTGTGATAGTAGTAATGGGAATTCGAAAAGAAATCCAAGAATTGGAAAAGGGAAGTAATATAAAAACGGACTAATGAAGAAAGTAATACAGCTGGATAACAATCGATGGGAAATAATAACCGTTTATAGCCAGAAAATTGAGGAAACCAAGACAAACATAGAAAAGAAACAAAAGAAAAAGGAGATGAAAAAAAATACTTACAGGAGGAGATTTTAACGCAAGACTGGGCGATACGGGGACAAGAGTAATAGATAAAGAAAAGGGAGAGAAAAGAGGATCAAAAGACAAAGCAAATAACAAAGAGGGAAAATATTGTGGGAGATAATAGAAGAAATGGGATGGGAAATTTTGAATGGAAACAACGAAGGAGATGAAGAAGGAGAATGGACATCCGTAGGGACTAGGGGAGAATCAATTACAGACTATGGGATTGTCAACGAAGAGGCGTAGGAAGAAATAGAGAGTTTCAAAGTGGGGGGAAAGGGAGAATCAGACCACATGCCACTAGAAATAAAAATCAAAGGAAAATAGCAAGAGTGCGAAAAACAAGAGAGAAGAAACGAAAGAAAAGAAATAGAAAAAAGAATATCGGATAAAGAGGGAATTCAAAGATACAGAAGTAGACTATAAAAAAGAAATTCGAAGTGAAAGAAGATATGGAAGCTATGATAGCAGAACTGATCAACTTAATTGTAGAAGCTACGGAAAAAAGAAAGCTGGCAAGGGAGGAATAATGGATAGAACGGAGAATGTAGTGAGTTGAAAAGAAAAGCAAGGGAAAAATTAAGACAATGGAAGAAAAACAGAGGAAGGAAAGAAGAGTACTTAAAAGCAAGAGAGACTTATAGGAGAAAATGTGAAGAAAGAAAAAGAGAAAAACGAGAAGACGAAGAGAAGACAATGAAGTCCCTGAAAACAGAAGACGAAGTATGGAGGGAGATATATAAAGAAGGAACGGAGAAGGAGGACTGAAGTCAGTAGGAAAATCAAAATACATGAATGGAAAAGACACTTTATGGAATTATTGGGAGGTTGTGAGGAAAAATGCTGCAAAATAAATAAAGGAATCACAACGACGGAAGAAATGTGGAGAGGTTCAGAAATAACAGAAGATGAAATAGGGAGACAGATTGAAAGACTGAAAAGAGGAAAGGCACCAGGAGGGGAAAAACAAAAATGGTGGTGTTTGGGAAGAAAGTAAGAAAGAAGAAAGAAGAGTGATAGGAATAGTATGGGGAATAGGAGAGAGAAAATTTGGACATGATTATAAGAGAAGAATGATGATGTTTGATAGTTTGATCAAAAGTGTATTTATGTCCGGAGCTGAGATTTGGGGATGGAGGGAATATGAAGAAATAGAGAGAGTGCAAGAAAAATACTTAAAATGGACATTGGAATTGGAAAAGTATACGCCGGGGTATATAGTGAGAGAAGAAACAAAAAGGAAGAAAATGAGAGTGGAAGCGGGTAAAAGGGAGGTTGGATTTGAAAAGAAATTTAGTGAGGGAGCTGATTGTAAAATATTGCAAGAACGTTGGAAAGAAATAAGAAAGGACGGGGGAAACATGTTTGGAACGAAAGAAACAAATATTATGAAGGAAAGGGATACGCATGTGAAGAAATATAGAGAATGGGAGAAATAGGAATGAGTATGAAAGAACAACTGAGTGTAAGAGATAAGGATATAGATAGGGTATGAAAAAATAGTAAAGAATGTAGTACCAAAGTACACACACGGAGAGAGTATAAAGAGAAAAGAATGATGGCGAGATTTAGGTGTGAAAATGAAGAGAAAGAGAATAATTTTTGGATGGATGAAACTGACAGAAGGTGTAGGATATGTTGGAGAGAGGGAGAAACAATAGAGCATATGCTGGAAAGATGTAAAAGATTGAGAGAATCGGAGGAAAGCAGGGAAGAAGTGCTAAACGAAGATGGACTGGATGAAAGAAGTACCGGAGATAAGGGAACTAAGTTAATTTGTACCCTTACTGGGAATCTTATTAAGCCTGTAAGGCAAATAATAAATTAATGCCACTACCTAGAGTTGACTTAGATAAGCAAAAAAAGGTTGCTTTTTGCGGCATAATTGGTCGTTTTCTGTGTGACACGT